GAGGATATAAGGATGGATGGATTTCATTATTTACTTTCTATCCAAGCACGCCCACTCCACTGTATCGCCAGACAAATACCTCACGGCGCTCTTCACACTATCTCGCTCGCCCTAACCCGGATCGAGCTTAGAGAAGTATCAGCAACAAACCCCGTGTAACATTATTCTACGCAGCTAGCTTTTAGAAATTTATTTAGGAAATACTTACAACCTATATATATTAGTAAGTTATTATCTTAGTTTTTTTTTAAAGATAATACTTACACTCTATAAAGATATTAAAAATATTACTAACTAGTGACTTTTCAGTAATAAGAGTAGAGATTACTCACTTCCTAATAATATATAAGTACTCTTACTAATAGCTATATTATAGTATTTAAGAATTATAGATAATACATACGCACTATAATTTAAATAAGTATTATGTAAGGTATCTAGTAAAGTACTACAGGCTTAGATATGAAATACTTACAGGCTATAGAATATATTAATTCTAATATAGCTAGTACAATTAGAGAGATTGTAGGTAAGAATACATACACACTACAAGGTATATTAGTATTATTATAGTAAGTAAGATCTAGTAATCTAGATAAGATAATACTTACAAACTGTGCCTATTATTGGTGTTATTACAGCGAGCTAGCTACTAGAAAGTAGAGTAGAGAACACTTACAACCTATGTCTATTGTTAGTATTGTTGCAGCGAGCTAGCTACTAGAAATTAGAGTGGAGAACACTTACACGTTTATTAAGCTCAACTGAAGCACGTTTATTAGGATGAACTGAAGCACTTAGTGCTAAAGCAGCGAAGGTGAGCGATAATGCAATTGAGAGTTTCATCTCTAAAGAGGTGTAAAGAGGTATACAAAAAAGCCAGGTAATAATAGGGAAAGTTAAATAGTTGTTGGTACTATTGACTTCGAGTTTTGGAGAACGAGGGGGGGAGGAGAAAGATAATGAATTTTTATAATAAAGAAGCTACGAGGCTAAAGTCTATCCCTGTGTGACGAAAACCCGCATATGCTAAGAATAACTAATCAGATCTTAAGAGTTGTATACAAGTCCGTGATCCTTACGGTCCGATTGATTGGTTTTCGCATACGGGGGTTTTCGTCACACAAGGATAGACTTCAAGTGTTAATTTAATAGCTTTACCCAACTAGAATGCCTTGAATAAGCGCCGATGATGCTATCCATCTGAATATCCTTGTTGCTATCAAAGTTTAACACGAAAATTACAATTGAGTTTAAAATAAAGTTTGAAATAAATCTCTTTGCCTATGCTCAAATAGCGCTAAATGGGGCAAAGGCGGCGGTACTTCTAAGATAGCCTATGTTCACAGCCAATGACCCCATCCTTCTGTACTCATTGCTATTTTTCAGTTGAACTATTTTCCAGATATAGTATACTAGAATTCCAAATATTAACACTTTGATTTTCTCTGGCGAGAGCTTCTTCTAAGTTGCCTCCAACTTGCAAAAAGCTTCACTTGTGTTCTTCGGGGAGCTACTTTGCGTAAGCAAGTCAAGGATTATCCTGGACATGTTAGGTTGTGGGGAAGATGACAGACGCCGGTATAAGCCCGTGATTAGACTCTGGAAGCATTACGACGCGTCAGCGCTTTTAGTGTAAGATCACATGTTGCGATACTTCGTGTTACGCACTGTAAAAGCCATACTAGCGACGATTTCGTTCGTGCCTAGAAACTTTACGAAGAGAGCTGGGGTGGTCCCTAATTTTAGTCAGGACTATATACTAATTTCTTAATTACTCCAGTTTTAGCGCGGCTATAAAGGTGTTAGCTACTAGTAACCTCTTACTATAAGACACAGAAACCCCACCCTAATATACGCTAGACTTAAGGCCTGTTCAGTAGGCGGCATATTAGCCTACTATAGGACTGCTAAGCTATACTATAAGCCTATACCTATATAGATATAGCTCCTATCTAATATAATTCTTTATACTACTTAATCCTCTATATCGCACGTTAGCGAAGTAGGTTATATACTACATCTTTTTTATAAAGAAAACTTAACCTACGTGTTACTAGTAAGTGGGCTACTCTAGTATATAGGCTGCCTTCTTGTAATATTCTATCTTTATATTAGTTGTACGTGACACTACTATAAATCTAGGTATTAGGTACATAGCTTTTAATAAAAAAAATCAAGGTTACTATATTAAAACTACATTGTAAATATTGTATAAATTTAAAGCTAAAAACTATTCTTAGTTAACTAGAAAATGGGTAAAAGTACTGAGGAAAATATATATACATAATATTTCAATTGATCGCTAATTTTATTGTTATGGTTTGCCTTCGTGATTCCGATTATCTTTCAAGATCTAATATAGGTTCAACCTTCAGATAACGGCTTTCCAGCATTCCAATTTCATATTCTGCAATACTCATGTTCTTATGTACTTATCCTGTATTGAAGCCTGGTATATATGCCTTTCTCTAGAGCAGGGCAAAGTTACCTAGTACACCGAATGAACTACACTACAATATCTATAGTTACAAATGATTCTGATATCTCGCACCTCAACGGAACGGAAGCATGAAAGTTTAGTAATTGGTGGCAAGGAAGGTGGACGTTGGAGGTCATGGTGGGGCCGCCACTACATTAGTTCACGACTTCCTATGTGAAGCACTCTCGTTTCTCAACACGCGCTTCTCACCATCATCACGACCACTTGCTCTGAATCTACCAAATCTGAAAAGAAATCGACGAACTGTTGCTATTGGATCGACACGATATTGGAGACCTATATCGCTATAAACACTCGAAGAAAGAGGGTTGGATAGTGGAGAAAGCCGCGATGACACGGACATCACCCTTGCTCACCTTGCCAGGGGAAATTAGAAACCAAATCGTATCTTACGCTTTTCATCGCACACTGGGCGGCATACCAGCCTCTCGCCTTTCTAGAAGTGCACTGGCACTTGCATGGACCTGTCGCCAGCTATACACCGAGTATGCCTCTGTCGCGCGCTCGCATAGCGTCATTTACCCGCTCACATGGTTGAGCGCCCAGCACCTAGCAGAAAAAACTCAAGCCCTGCTCACTACTACTTGTGCAGCACAAATCACCAAGCTGCAAGTTATCCTGCCAGCATGCCTCGCAGAGCTGTACGTTTGCGACTCCGCGGCAACAACGCGTCGACGCGTAAAAGGGTTCCACTTTGCCGCCGCGGGACTGCCGAACTTGGAAGAGCTGTATTTCCGATTCCAGAGCACAGACTCTCATGGCAATGGTAATGGTGATGGTAGTGGTAGCGGTGGCGCGGGCAGGGAACTCGTGGTACACATGCTGTGGCGCTTGTTGTGGGAAAAAGACTTGTCGCGTCTCAACAAAATCTGTATCGTGCATGATGGAGTACAGCCTTTTCTTTCACTGACACTGCTGCATGGCATGCTGGCCACTTTCAAGTCTTTATGTGTGTCGCGCAGATGGCACGTCAAGTCGGATTTTGAGCATGGACGGTTGATGTTTGTAGAAAAGTCTGGGGGTAAGACAGAGAGGAGGGTCGCGGTGCTCGTGGGATATAGCTTTCGTGAGGCCGAGGAGTATGTGGACGTGTGTGAAGAGATTATAGAGGTAAGTCATTTCTTTTTCATGGTCCTCAAGGTAGTCATCTGAAAAGACAAGGTCGCAAGTCTGGCTGCAGCACCGCGAATCAACTGTCTATCTTCCTTTTCAGTTAAGTTGACTTCGAACTCACAGGACAAGCATGCTGCTGTTGTGATCGCTCGGCGGAGAGACTGCAAATATGTGGCTCCTTTAGAAGAGATGACGGATGCCGAGTTGAGACAGGAAGTTGACAATCTGCACACTTTGTTTCCAGTATCTACAAGCGGAGAACCTTTATTGCAGCCACATATTGAACGAATACGTGCTAGGTGTAATCTTAGTTCATAGAGACCAGAGAGCCGCTACCTGCTCTCAGCTTTTGTCCGCACAATCAAAGATAGGCTCAAAAATAGTGAAACAATGACTAATTACAAAGGTGCCCACCACTGTGATTGTCTTGTTAGAGCGTGCAGGGGTTCAATCCTGTTTGACCAAGGAAGATTCCCATGGATAAAACACTGACCTTGGAAACTTCCGCACTGCCCCTAACTTGACAAAGGTCGCATAGCAGATAGATTTGCCAGCGGTCACGGAGGACCCGAGTAACTGTGTCGATCCTACCAAATCCTCTCCATTTCCACGCGTCACCATCAAGCCGTGTCCACGCGTACGTGAGCCGCCACACAACAGTAGCATGCCCTCCACAGCTATCCTCGGAGTGCCCCTCGACCGGTTAAATTACATGTCCGTCTGGCACGTGGTAACGTAAGATGGGAAATGAGATCAAGTCCAGCGCTCAGGATGCGATGAACACGGTGTGGGCGACTCTGGTGAGCCCACAGTTCTCGTATTCGATGGGGTTGGTATTGATTCCATCCCACGGGGCGTCTGCCGAGGCCAGAGTCTGGGCCCTTGGGATCTGACCAGAGTTCATGGACAGAGTGGAGAGGAGCGCTAGCGGACGGGAACGAAGGGTCGGGACGGAATGGCACGGATCGACATGGTCGATGTGGACGAGATGGTGTAGAGAAACCAAGTGGCAAGTGTTGAAGGATGACTCCCCTCGCCACACGGCGGCCAGTAAGAAAGTCTATGACACCCCGCCTAATGATTCCAGGGGCTCAATGACCCAGAACCATCCCGTCATCTCGTCCGTGGAGTTCGTACTGTGGCTTTCCTTCCTTGGCAATGGAGACAACCACTGTGCACGAAGTGTTATTTTATACCCTAGTTTTGATTAGCGGCCACTAGCCAGGGTCTCGACAGATGCTGTTCGGCGAGCTCGGGCAATTTCCTCTCTGTTTCACGTCAGGCGTTCAGTCGCGTGGTGATCTCGTGGACGAGGCTCCGCCGTAAAGACTGCTTCGGTATGTTCATCTAGAGTCCTCCGGACCTATCAATCGGCCTAGTTCTCGCTTGACCATGTTGTGGAACGGGCCGATGGCGTTTGGGCACATCTTGGATGCTACTAAGCTCAGGTCCCACACTGCACGTACGTACATTGTTACTGCCATAGTCGTTCAGGATTGGATCCGTGCCGTAGCAGGTTTCGGTGGTGTCGAAGGCTGTTTTTTTGATGGATTCTGGGAAGGGATCAATCGTGTTTAGTTTTACTTTTTCTCATGCATGCTTTTATCGATTATCAGCCGGCAGAGACTTTGCGATCACTCCGCTTCTGCTCAAGAGGCGGACAAAAGGCGGACACCAGAAAGACCAAGCATCGCTGGGCAAGGCAGATTGCACTAGCCACGAACACAATCGCCGTGCTGTAGCACTGCTGATCACCAAGAGACCGAAGAGATGGGTCGAATATTGAATAGACCCAATCATTTGGTACTGGTAACGTTGATGAGGTTAGATGTTGCCGGAAGGATGCCAAGTCAAACGACTGGGGAATCATCTCGATAAGAGGAAAAGTCAGCGAGCATTCAATATAATTTTCATGCACTCCGGTAGTGGGTGGCCCCGAAACGCGGTACATGGTGGTCGGAGGAGCGGGTAGTTGAGCCGGATTAGCTCAAGCACAGTCGACTACTACCAGGCACGTGGATGTTGGTCCCAGCAGTCTGGTAAGCAGTCGACTACATGCAGGCTGGGACGCTCTCTTCTCCTCTAATGGGTGCATGTGGGGCAGTGCATATGCTATGCCGCCATGCCCTACAGAGCTCACCGTTCCTGCATCGAGGCAGCAACAGCTACGCGTATGCATGGTATGACACGACAATGCGGGCTTGCAGTACCTGCGGCAGACAAGACCAGTACGTATCGATAAGCAGTGCACGCCACCACATGACATGTTGTGCAACCCCAACCACGCACCAGGCGCTATGGCGCCAGGACGGCAGAGCTGAGATATGGCGAGGCCGCGAGTTTGGCCAACATAACATGTTGCAGACCCCTAGTAGTATGCTCGCGCCAGTGTCGATCGCTAAAGATAGATAATATACGGCTCTACCCTTGCCCTAAGTTTTGTCATTCGAGGGGCTTGGCCGAGCGTAAGCGTTACTCACCTACGACCCGTGCACCATCCTTTCAAGCGCCGTGGCGTCCAAGTCGTTATGTGATAGGCTATACTGAAGGCCCGCGTACAAGGTTCGCCCAGAGGGTAAGCAATGGAACGGACCGTCATTGTCTAGTATATCTAATAAAGCGCGTGTATCGGCGTAAGGCTGGATAGGTGCAGAGATTTGAAGATCGGTATGGCGTTGGTGCTGAGCCTTTTGAGCTCCCCATTCTCATCCCAGCACACGAGAGTCCCGTCGGAGAACTAATTCTGGCAAGCACGAACCCCTCAAGGTAAGCAAACAGTGTGGTTGACAAGCCTACGAGTGTGTGCAAGTATCGAGATTAGGCAGCATAGGCCTCCCGTTTTCACATTGCAAGGCCAACACAGCCCACTCCTTACAAAAGCTGCTTGTCTGAATGACACAGAATCTGCGTGGATTCGCCTCGTGTATGCTAGCCACGAGGAGATAGGTCTGGCGCCATGACGGTGACAGGTCCTGATCTCTGAAACTGAACTTTCAAGACCTCCGAAAACCCAAAAATGGAGTGGCTGTAGGGGCAGTCGACAAAGGCTGATGCTTACCATATCAATCAGTATGGTTGTAGCAGCAAATAGAAGATACAATACCGGCATTGGTCTAAAGAATACGGTGATCAGCATCTACCTAATCCCCTGACATGACCAGTATTTCAATTCCATGAGTGCGCATGATCAACCAATTAGACCTTCTTCCATTTAGCCATTTGAACCGCGCTGGCAGCAATAATAGGCGATTACGATGTGGGGCGCTGAAAGTCGGGTCATCTCGGTTACGCAACGTGGGTGCAAACACTGTGCAAGATAGAGATAAGCGCAAATAGCTCTATCAACTGCAATACCATTGATGGATGCCATCACATGATTTATCTGCATTTGCGCGCTGAAGAAATGGTCAATGGAGAACAATGAAGGGATGGCTCAGAAGCGTCATGGATGACCTTCAACACTCATTGACTTGATTGGAAACATTAACGGCAGAAATATAAACTTGCGTGCATTGTTGTGCTCCATAATCGAGCTTTATCTAAAAGTTTCTCGTACATTTTAAACTACCTTGCAGTATTTTCCATATTGTAAACTCTCAGCTCGATAGGAGAAAGTTCAGGTGTAGCTGCTTTCTGAACGAGTGGACTACTGGTAGATAGGGCGAGTGTTTCTAAACATACGTATAGAATGTGTCGAGGCAAAAACCTCACACTGAAATTTCCAGGTTCTTTTAAGCTGAAGAGTGGCTCGAACACTGCATGATGGAATCTTTACGTGACTTCCATTCCTGTTTTCAAAATTGATGACATGGTGCCTCTTCACACACCAAGTTAGCTCCCAGACCAAAATATAGGATCGGGTTGGATTGTGCGGATAAAACGGTGGTCAATTCTGGACTCGTAGGCTCAAACATCGTCCAGTTTGGCATGGAATCGGGCAACCAGTCTCTCAATAACACCTGATTACCAGAGTAGCAACCAATGGTATTGTAAAAAGATGTCGGCTCCGACGAGGTTTGTGGAAGCAACAGTGCATAGTCGGAATCTGGCCATGGTGCTGATGGCGTGAAAGGCACCGTACTTGCGTCGTCTCGCATAGCTAACATTTGTGATGGGGTTATGTCGCTGAACGACGAGCCGAATCCATGTTCAATCGACGCTGATATCTCTTGGTACCATGTCTGCGGACATGAAATGTCGTCCGCAAAGTGAATCATAGTTGCAGGCTCGTGGAACACCAGAGGCTCAGGCGTAGGCGGCGAGAGGCCACCTAGACTAGAGATGCTGCTTGTCCACATCGCCTGATCCAAGCCAGCCATGATTCGCTCAGGATCTTTCATGTACAGCTGGCTCTCGTCAATGATGTATGGTGCATCCATCGGAATGGAAGCAGATTCGGCATGTATAGGGAGTGATACGGTTTGTAAATCCGATTCTAAGACACTTTGGGAATTGCATGACATGCGTCGCGCATCTCCATTGCTGCCCACAGGTGGTAGGTGTTGAGATGAATCTGGTCCATCAACCCGTGAGAGAGCACCCAGAGAGTGATTCTTTACTAGTGAATGAGATGTTTTCCGTGTGTTTGAATGATGGATATTTACAGAGGTACGGCGAGTCGATCGGGGTTCGCAGATGATGCCTTTGGTAATGCAGCGCGAACATGAAGGTGCCTTGAGAGTGAGCTTTGTGAGAAACTGCGCCTATATAAGAAACACGTACTGCCTTGTTACACTTTGTCTTAGCTTTGGCACACGTTACGCATGCAATCGCTCTTCTAGAGGGCAATCTAGCGTATGGGTTTCGTGGCTGCGGCTCCGCTGTCATGTTGTACGAGGAGTCATGGAGAATCTTAGAAGGCTTGGGACTCATAGTTCTGTATCGATGTAATAACAGAGGCGGAACCGCACAACGGATTGTTTATGTGCCCAAGAAAGAGGAGTCGTTTTATGCAGGATTCGGGAGACACAGTAGGGGCACCAGAATAGGTTAGATAACGGGATTCATCTTCACCAGTAAGTAGTTAAGAACTGAGTGGATGATACACTAGTTCAAACGGAACGGAGTAAGGCCTGAAAATCCTAAAAGGCTACATGCAGTAGCTGACTAGTGGAGGTTTGGTATGAACCGAGCCAAACTAATCATAGAACCAGTGTACATACCTTTTGTTACAAGTGAAACAGTGGGGAGGGCCCGTTCTGGTGCCGATGAGGCGTTTTCTGCACTAGTGGAATCGAGGCTGAGCCCGAAAATGTAGACATCCCCCCATGAGACGTCGTCCCTGATTATGGTTAGATGGAACGCCACAGCGGACGTACTTCAAGCAAGGGGGTATGGTAGGCTATGTTTCAGTGAGCTGGCGGTGGCATGAGCTTTCGTGCATGCTGGTCGCAACTGTGATGCTGAATTCTGACAAATTTCACCATAACGGTCCATACCTATACTAAAAACTGCAATGTGGCCAAATCGTCGGGAACCCCGATGGACAGAGAAATGCATGTTTTGCAACATGGGTAGCCTCCGCACATGTGGTGAGTCTTTGGACAAGGATATTCCCCAGGAAAATTTTGGTTAAACACCTTTGCGAACAGCCATGATGCATACACGTATACCAGATTGCGACTCGACGGAGGTTGTTATCTGGCGAGCATCGCTGGATTTGTCAGCAACAGGGTCACGCTAGCGTCAACCGTTTAGCAGGCCGGCCACATCGCGAATAGACCTAGGCAATGGGGCCAATTTCTTAGTAAAGAGGACGTCAAGATTCTTACAGTTGGGCAGGAGTTTTGGAATGTCAACATATGCGGCGTTACCAACTTGTTCAATGTATCACCAGCACCAGGGGACTGATCCGACGCTGGCTCTACCCATGCACGGACAAGTGCGGATACATATTGCCATAAGAAATCATACATGACCTTCTACAACACGACTATGAGCGTCCACCCATCTACCTCTGATGATGCCTATGTTGCATAGTTACGACGTATTCAAGGGCGCAATCTCTATCGTAAATAGTATCGGCGCGTCGGTCTCGATCCTTATACAATCTGCTTTGACATGGTTACTTGTACTGACTTGCCCGCCCATGCGTGTAGCCCACTGCTTGACATCCCACTCCAGGCCCTCCGTCGAGATCACGGCTGGGCCGTATATAGGAATAAGACCCACATTCTCTGTGAAAACCCGGCTCGCCTGAACGCCTCTCAAAATAGTTTCCCCTGCCTTTATAATGAGGGACAGACTGGATTCCGAAAAGAGCCACAAACGAAGGTTGGGATGCTTAGTCTCTTCTCGAATCATCTCATGCAACAGTCCCAGCCCTTGGTCAACGCGTCCAGCCAATGTTCCAAGAACGAGGATGTCTCGCATCCCCGACAACGAGACACGCGAAGAAATCTTCTGCATGCACTTTCCAAAATCTGTACTTTCTTGATCTCCGTCCCGTGATATTAAGACGCCTTGATCGCGATAGTAGTCATGAACATCATTGCGCAACGAGTCGAGGTCGCCGTGGACGATGTCGGGGAGCTGCATGTATCAGTCTTGCCTAGCGGCTCAAATCTTCGCTTCTACTTACATATCGATTGCGCTGCTCTATCAGTTCTCCTTGAAATACATCAAAGAGCCTGTTTGCGCCGCCGTCAGCGCAAACACGGTAGCTACTATGCTTCCAGAGATGCTCGAACGCCGTCAAATGCGTTATTGGCTGGTTTAGGATGAGAAGATCAGGCCAGGCAACTAAGGCATCTGATAGCTCTTGTTCGACTAGGTATCTCCCGGGAGAAAGCTCTCTCGCTCTATCTTCGCTCATTTTAGGCGATGTGTCAAAGGTTATTCTATAATATAGTTTAGAGTATAAATATATTATTGCTCACGTTTAGAGGAGAAGTAATATACTAACGTGCGGGATTAGTAAGCTAGCTGGAATAGTAAGCTGGCCGCTCTACTAGACTCGACGCGACATTCTACACAATTAAGCTATAATAATAAGAGATAATATAATTATATCTTATTATAAGGTAGTCTATTATAATCTATATTAAGTTCTTTTATA